AAGGAATTTCAACAAAATCTCTCCGTACTGTTGAAGCTGGTCTCTTGGCCGATTTAATGGTGTATGAATCAAAGGTATAACCCTTCATTGGAAAAACTAGATAGGCTTACAAAATGAATGCTGCTCCATTTGACACCCGTCAGTTTCGATATCCATGGCGGACGAGTGTTTACCTTTAAAATGAACTAAAGCGTCTTTTCTAAATCAATTTTCAACGCTGATTCAGAAAAAAATAGTTTCAACCTTCTATCTTGTAATAAAACTTCAAAAAAGTCAATTCTATGATAAAGGTCAGTTTTTCGACTTTTTAGACCCTTGCAGTATTTCAGGTTTTTCTCCACGGAAAAAGGACTTTTAAAGGTTTTAAAGCAGATATTCGTGATCAGCTCAACAAGACGAATCAGAATATATATGACAAATTGAAAAATAAAATCCACTCGAATTTTGCATAAGGTGCACCTTACATATTCTTATTATTCTAAAGCACACAGAAATCCAATTACTGCGTCGGCCATGTCGATTTCGGAAAAGCAAAAGTTGAACACTATGGATTGAAGTTGTTTTCATTGCAGGATGAATCCGTCGCTGTTATTTCTCATATTTTTCCATAGATATTTCAGAAAAAATTCAATTTGTTTCGAAAAGACGGTGAAACTTAAAACTATTTCACAGTGAGCGCTACAGAAGTCAAGAATGTTTTAATCAAATTCACAAAACAGCACTTGAACTCTATTTGTATGTAATTAAATATTCGGCAACAGCTTGTGCATCATGGTAGGTAACAAAAATATGATTTCCATCCGTTGTCGAATCGAATCCCACAGGTCGAGTTTTCATTGAACTATTACCCTTAGTCGTTTTCCCAATCAGAACACGCGAGACAAACATACATCGTTCTCCATTTGAATTTGGTAAAGTATAATTGTGACTATAGGCTGCATTTGACGAAAAATAAACACCAAACCCATATACCGTACCTGAAAGTGAAGTAACTACAATAGAAATTGCAAGAACACAAGAAAAAGACTTGCCATTCACTCCAGCGAAACTTCTATTAAAACAATCCTCCATAATCAAATGTGCTGCTTCTTGAGGACAACCATGATATAAACGCTTTTCAGTATCTGTGTTAAGCCTTTTTTTGAAATCTTGACTGTGCGCTAAATATTGCATGTACCATCTTTCATTTTGAATTCGTTCGACTTGTATTATTTGTCTATATTTTCCTTTCATTGTTTGATCGAAGTCGGTCACAATTGATTTATATTCATCTGTAATGTTAGACACCACAAAGCGTATTTTGTTTTCTGTCGATCGCTCCCACAATGATGGCAGTTGATCAACGACCGATTTTTCAGAAGCTGCTAAAATATGTATCGAAACTCGCAACATTTATTTTCTTATAAATGTTTCTGTCAAAAAGACAGTTATTTAGTACTACACTCAGATCTCTTGCAATAAATTCATCAGTGTTTGATCGGTTAAGTCAGTTAACCGATTCCGTCATTTTATTCTGTTTCGTTGAGTTCGATCTCGCAACACAATATAATTTAGTCAATTTTCTTAGAACGAACTCAAATCGGCTTTTATGTATGCAAAGTGTCAGATCGCTTCTCTTACTGATCAGGTTCATAAAAAGAACCGAAATATTGTAATACGAGCAGATGTTTAGGCATTACCTTCCTCAGATCCCAAGACTTGTGTACAAAATTCATCATACACGTTTTGCTGCTCAGGCTCTATCACGAATTTGACTGTTAATGATAAATTTCTTATTTTCAACTGGTTTTTAATTTCTTTAACCATCGTTTTAACTACAATATCTACGGAACAGCCGTGTTTTCCGCATCCGATAGCCGGAAACGCAATCGACGTGTAATTATACGAAATGACATTTTGCATAACATTCCATATGAAGTCAACGATTGATTGTCGAAATATAGCGTCATTTGCATCTGGTTGCCATTTAAGAAAAAAGATTCGTTTACAAGGTAATTGGCCGGGTAGAGTTGAAATAAGAATTGAATTCGGATTATTTTTAGATTCGGTTTCATAAGCCGTTTTAACTTCAATGCCAGCCGCCTTTATTATGCTCTGTTTTAAAATTTCCGATGATAAGCTTCCAATAATAACGTCGACCTACAAGAACAATACAAAATAAAATATATCTTGCACTGTTAGCTGGTCTTCATGTGATACCTTTTGTGTTGTTATATCTCCTTTTTCAACTGTAATCATTCCGTTTCCAATTGTCGCAGATACTGCTATCATTTCTGGAGGTTGTTGCGGCTGTTGTAATGAATCGATTTGCTTTTGAAATTCATCATAAATATCGGTTCTATCTGGTTGTATTATAAATGAAATCGAAATTGGATGTGTGGCCAGTAGTCGACAGGCTTCCCCGACAATTGTTTTAGCAACAAGGCTGATTTGGCAGCCAAACTGGCCGCAACCGATGGCTGGAAATGCGATACTTTTATAATTGTCAGTTACCGCTTTTTCGATTGCGTTTGAGACAAATTTTTTCAACGATTCACAAAGTAGAGCTGCATCGGAATTTGGTTGCCATGGAAGAAAGTAAATTTTTTTCGCTGCGAGTTGCCCACCAGCAGCAACAACAATGACAGTTGGCGACTTTTGTTTCGATTCAATATTGTACGCAGTCTTTACCGTATCTCCACTGGCTCTGAAAATATTTTCGAGCAAAACCTGTGATGACGAGCACACGACAATAACATCAGTCTGAAACGAGTAAAAAGTGTGTCAATCCCCTGCACAAATTTTTGAAGTATGATCTTACTTGTTCTGTTGTCAAATCACCTTTACGCACATACATCAATTGCTTCGAATTTGCACCTGTGGCTGATTGCTGTAATAAAGGAGAAACACTCAGGATTTTATGTGAATCATTTTCAAAGCACTCTTGTTAGATAACACTGTCATGTTGTCCAGAATTATGTTTCAAAATAAGTGTTTTCTTTGCTATTATTCAGACAAACACTAACAACAGTCACTGGAAAAAAAGTTTTTACCGTAATCCCTATGGGAATCGAAATGTGAAACACGATGGAGCCGCCTTAATTGTAGATGAAGATTCTCTGTCTATTGATCATGACTCCTGACGAGGTCTAACCAACATCATGCCGACATGTCTGTCATGATCTATGGGGCAGGCTTCGCGAATAAGGGGCTTTCATTTTTCTCCTATATACTTCAACACTCACACAAAATCATGTTTCATAAAAACCCATTTAATAAAAAAAACTTTTGATAAAAATCCGAAATACCAAGGTCTGAAAATTCAAATTAACGGATCAGCAGTTAGTCATGGTCTGTGACGGGCTTAAAACGCTATATTGTGAGGAATAAATTGGAATATTGGATTCCGGATTTTTTATCTAAGAAAAATTAATTAAAATTCAATTCATTATATATAAATTCAAAAATAATTAAATTAAGAAATTATGTGGTCCAAAATCCAAAACATGCACGTCGAAATGTCTGTCACGATCTAGCGAGGAAGTGTAGGGGGCATTCGCTTTTCTACCTATATACTTCAACACCCATTTTCAATCGTGTTTCACAAAAACAATCATGGTTGTATGTTCGTTAGAGAAATAGTACGTATAAATACTTCCTTCTAGAAATGTCGACTTTTCAAGTATATGAGTATTATTAATTTTCTTAACAAGTTGTCAATTCTTGCAAAAGTCAATTTATTAAGAATGATGCATTCGTTTGTTTGAAAGCTGTAGGACTTTCTAGTAGTCAACAAGTTTCATGTTAAAATGCAGTCAGTCGTTTCGACAGAAAAATGCTCACAGCTAAGCTCGAGACGCGCAGTTCTCTTTGGATTATTCTTGATTTTGATGCCAACCCAAAGGATTAGCTCAAAACCGAGGGCCGACTGACCTGATGAGAACAACACTCTCAGCAAGTCAGCTTTAGATCAGACTGTGGAAATGTTTAAAAATTCTCTTCTAACGATACCACTTATCCTATTGGAGCCGGGAGATAGTGACATGTAGAAAAGCGTAATGAACCACAGTATTTTATATCTTTCATGGCTTAACTCACTGTTAGCTGTTGTGGTGATCGATTCGTAGGGATATTGCCTTCTGGATTCGTAGGGAGATTGCCCCATGGATTCGTAGGGAGATTGGCCCATGGGTCCGTAGGGAGATTGCCCCATGGATTCGTAGGGAGATTGGCCCATGGGTCCGTAGGGAGATTGCCCCATGGATCCGTAGAGAGATTGCCTTCTGGATTCGTAGGCAGATTGCCCCATGGATCCGTAGGGAGATTGCCTTCTGGATTCGTAGGCAGATTGCCCCATGGATCCATATGGAGATTGCTTGCCGCAGACGCTTCACTAGAGTTGTGTTTGAGCAAAGGAGTTGTTTGCGGAACAGTACCAGACCTCGCTGATGCGGTCCGTATACAAAATACTTTTCTACTTAACACTCCAGTTCCGGGCCACCAGATCGCATCAGGAATTGACATTGTATAATAATGACCCAGACAGGAGTGTTGTAATGGGTCGCAATTGGTTTTGTCTTCATAGCTCACAGTGTTCTTGTCTTTGATAGTAGCCACACAGATATATACACTCATATCAGCTACATCACATCGTTCGATTTTATAACCAAGGTCAGTTGGAACAGCTCTAAATTTTAAACTCATTTGCCCTTGTTGTTGTCCACGCTTAATCGAAAGATTGAACAAAGATTGACCCACTTTCGGTCTGATTTTCAAAGTAATGGACGGTTCATTTTGCCTGACTGCATTAATTGCTATTACTTGAGCAAGATAATGCGTTCCATTTTTTAAATCAGTTCCTATAAAACTTGTGGCTGTTGTATAATGAATATTTTTTGCCCAAGTATCCTCAGCTTTTATTTGAATTTCATATTGGGTTGCGTTCAACACAGGAGACCATTGAAGAAAAACCGATGCATCTCCATTTGTAGCAACAAAATCTGACGGCTTTGATAATACCATTATATCTAGCCATTTTCCACGATAAACATCGGAAAATCCACCTTGTCCGAGGCGTTTCTCTTGTATTAAATCATGATATGGAATATGAAGAAATGCGTGCTCCTCCTCAGCAATCCTTGCGCCTCGGACAGGGTCGCTAATTTTTAGAATACTCTGTTCGAGTTTATGTTTGAATGAATTGAATCTTTCGGTAATAGTGTTCTCCAAACGATTGTAGTGGCGAAGTTGTTCAGATTGCATTTCTGCCATCATTGATGCAATGTCGTCGATTTTGGATTGAATGGCATTTAGATCTTTTCTTTGATCACTCTCGTCAAGTTTCGGATCAAATATCTGCTTCAAATTGACACCCAAATTGAGATCAGTGGCACATTGAGACAATTGCAGATTCAATTCTTCAAATTGCTTCTTGTAATTTTGGTTCTTAAAGATTTGATCAAACCAGGAAGTTTTATCTGCGAATTTTTTCACAAATTCTAGACATTGATTGACACAGCTATGAAAATTACTCAAAGACTTTTGAAGCTCTTGTCTTTGCAGATCTTGGTCGTTCAGTGATTCCAAGACCGAAGTAATGGCATCGATTCTTCCCCCAAGTCGTTGACATTGTTCTTGATTAGCTTTGACCTCGTGAACAGTTTGTTTAATAACTATTACGACTTGATAGATAACGGTTAGGCTAGTCGTTGGATCCATATTGGTCCAGTTATAACTTTTAAAAAGCGTAGAAGGAGTTAAATGAAATCAATCCAGACAAATCTAAAACATGGACGAACGAATTACAGTTCAAAACTACTTCCAGAGAAAAAGCTTTTGATCAAATTAATACGTGTTCACACTAGAATAATCCGGCAGCGTGCTACATACGTACTTAATCAGATGGAAGATTTTGAAGAATACGATTATCAATATCAGTTAAACTCTGAAGCAACAACGCAATCCTTTCTCGATTTCCCCCGTCGACTGTAGCACAAGTGTAAACATGTTCTTTTTGAATTTGACCCAATATGCGATTCAGAAATTTGAAACAACTATTTCTCTCTCAGACGATACGGTTATGTAGCTTCTGGAACAGATCTTCAAATAGAAATCCCGATATCGGATTCTCTTGATCTTGTGACGGATCATGGTCACTACGCAAAACGAACGGCTTTGCATGTCATCGTAGTGGTTCACCCGTGTTTCAGCTTTCCTTCATGAACTACTCATAAACTGTGTCTGTCGTAATGAAAATATTTAGATGCTTAAAATGAGCAGCACACCCTGTTTCACGTTTGAGTGCTTACTTAACAGAGACACCCTTCTCCTTGCTATCCATTCTTACACAGGTGGGTCAGCGACGATTGTTGGCCATCGATATGCGTAACTTCCTTCTAGAGATTCGAGCACACCTACAGCAGAATTTATCTGTCGACCTTACCTTAGCGAGCTCTTCTCTTAGATATTTGCCAGTACTGACAAAGTCAAGTGAAAATCGCATGGTTTCATACGACGTCGTTGGAAAAAATCAGTCTCGTGACGAAAACCATTGAGTCAGGACACAAAAAAAACAGTATTTTATTGAGAAGTCGATGTATTCACTGTTGAATTGGGATCACATCCGGAGATTTTTCTAAGAATGCCATCATAGCAAAACGGCCTTGAATGGTACTTTTTCTGTCATGTGCATTCCAAGATTATTAGATCATGATTCGAACAACTTCTTACAGTCGGCAGTATACAAACATGATTTTGCACTAGCTCAGAGGTTGGCAATGTCGAGTTTCAAAAAGTTGAGTGATGTTTGAAACAGCAACGCTAAAGAAAAAATCGTTGCATCTAATGTCACAAACTAACAGCATCCACTGTTCGACCCGTTATTGTTTCACAGTTCGTTCGAAAATGATCAGAATCATTGTTTGCTCTTCGATCAAATGATCTACATTAGACGAACAGAATCGCATTCAGTTCTTGAGGGCAATTTGATCTGGTAGTCCCGATTAATCGTGAATTTCTGTGTTGCGACTGTAGTGCGAAAAAAATTTCAGATTTGGTGAGAACTTGAAAACCAGTCAGAAAATCATTTCTTGGAAAAGCTCCGTTTTAGCTTTTACGTAAAGAGAATCCAGCGACAAACTATAGCATACCAACAGCTGAGATATAAGTACTTGTTGCCGTGGGAAAACTCGTACTTTCTATTGCTTTAAACTTACGCCGTAGCTGCGGCCGCACTACGAACGCACTTTGATACACAATTGCGATCGCAATGGCGCAATTGCGCGCAGTCCAGCAATACGAGTAAAACTGCGTCGTAATTAGGCATAATTGTGCCGCAATGAACCAGAAAAGTGTCACATGGGCATGTCTCACTCGTGCGAAAATTTTCATGTAACAAATCAGTGAATACTCAGTGATAGTCATAGATATCTCTTTGGAGTAGTGAAGATCGTACAATAGAACGTTTTCAGCACTTTACACCTTGTTTAGTTATTTGACCATAGTATCGATATGTCGCGATTTTGGCTTATATTTCTTTTTCTTACTCGTGGGATACATTGATTTCGACCACATAAATACTCTGCTTGGCAAGGGACAAAGAAAAAGAGCATTGGAAACAATCAGAAAAGGCTCCGACATCTTCAGTTATTCTGCATTTCCTTCATTTGATACAGTTCGATTGAATTTCATGCCAGAACTAAATGAATCATGGGATTTACTATTCGCCTGGTGTTTATCCTACATGTCAGTAACTGAAAATGGATCTGGCGGCATTATCCTTGTTCAGGTAGAGAGTTCTAGGATATCCGCAAGTGTTGGAAATATCCATGCGTCACATACTGGATTTTCAAAACTTGAAGTATTGGTTTTTCCAGCGCATTATCACATGTTCTATATTGGACCTTTCCCAATATATTCATATACGTCGTACTTGGTTTTCTCCAACATGCTTATATATGTCAGCGTCCAAACTGAGATTACGTCCGATCTCAGATTGGCCTAGACGAATGTCGGATCCGGGATTGGACAGACACTTGTTCAGGCCATTCTCAGATAATACATATATGTGTCAGAGAGACAGATCTTCATCAGTTCTTACACACGGACGCGTGTCGGTAGCCTTCCGTTCGTTTCGCGTTCATCTTCGTTTTCCTGTTCTCCTCTTCTTTTGCCCTTTGACTTCGAATACGTAACAGATCTCGACTGGAGGATAGAGAGTACACACAAGATTGCACGCATACGCTAACAGACAGCAATATCAAATGCTCAGCAACGAACCGGGCTTCTTTGTTTTCATGAGAAATGCCCAAGAATATTTTGAGAAGTGATCTCGACAATGGAGAATCCATTGATATTCACCATCAGGTCGCGTCCGTAGGCTAATAAGATCCATTTGTAGTCTAGTCAAAAAGCCAAGTGATACGATTGCTGTTGACACGAAATGACTTTTGACCGATTTTCTGAATTGACATGAAACACAGCATGTCAAGTAAATGTCAATGATACTTGATGGTATCCAATAGTAATGTTGACTAACTTCATGATAATCATCAATGTTCTGTTCAACTACCTTGCTCACTTCGAAGCAAATGTACCCAATTACCAAGCAATTGGAAAATTACATCGCAAATGAATAACACAAAGCTGACTTTGATCGCAACGACGATGTTGAATATTTTGATACGCCAAGGTTGATTAAATCTAAAGTGAGTATGCTTAATTAGTAGCCGTCTGTTTTGGTGAGGGTGAGGATGATTAATAGGCTGTGGTCAAAATCGTTTACATAGCTTAAAAACTCTAAAATCCTTGAAAACATTTGTAGTTCTTTTGAAACCTTTTTTTAATTAATAAATATGAAAAAGTGGCACACAATAGAAGACCTAATTGAACATTTTTTGTTTTGGGACATATTAGATGACCCGGGATCTTCCAAAGTGGGGAGGGTTAACACTATTATGGTGGGGATCTAGCATAACAGTTCGCAATGTCAACAATAATAATCTTTGCATTGAAGCAGGACTTTCAATTAAAATAGGCTTCAGAAAGTACAATGAATTGTTGAAATAGTAAAGTTACCGTTGAATAGCCACATGTTTGATATATATTTTTTCAAATTCATGCTTGGCGGTACTTCTTTCAATCTGGAAAAAACCTCCAATGGAAAGTTCTTCCTAATAGATTGGAAAATTTTCATCAACTCAACTGCTCTGGGCAGTTCAACTACTGGATCGTGAAATTTTTAGCCATTTTAGCTTTCTTTCGCATTGATTGGGAGATCGATTCTTCATTGAGTGTGTTCGTATTTTCAAAAATTCCCATAATATGACGACGTGAGAATGTTGAGTGTTAGGGTACTGTTTCAAGTTGTATTGTTCTGACAAAATATTGTTTGGCAGTGCGCACAGTGAAAGATACAACCAGAATGAACGATACAGATATATATATAAAGAGAGAAAAACTCTTCTAATTACATTTTAGAATTTGAAGATCAAAAGATGAGCATATCAGCGATAGCAGGAGCATCTGATGCTTAAGGCAAGACATACTCACTTTTCTATGTAGTCTACATCCTACAGAACTAAAAAATTATATGAGTATGACTCAAAAGTGATTATGAATTGCCTATTACTTGCTTGCCATTTTTATATCTGTTGAACTGAGATTAGATCGTATCGTCTATTACATTGATCAAAGTTACTGACACAACTCTGAAAATGAGTAAGTACACTGGAAGTTGACAACAAAGTGGGGAGTAGGCATGCACCGGTTACGGTTAACCGTAACCGGTCATAACCGTAACCGTAATAACCGGCCGAACGGTTAACCGTAACCGTAAATAACCGGTCGAACGGTTAACCGTAACCGTGAATAACCGATCGAACGGTTAACCGTAACCGTGAATAACCGGTCGAACGGTTAACCGTAACTGTGAATAACCGGTCGAACGGTTAACCGTAACCGTAACCCAGGCCGTGAAAAATGAGCCATAAATGACTCATTTATGGACCATATATGGCTCATTTTTAGATCATATCTCTCCCACATTTATCTCATT